TCGAAGTGGCGCTCGCATCCCATTATAGGATTGCCGTCAAAGACAAGAAAACTAATTTAGGATTACCTGAAGTGATGTTAGGATTACTTCCGGGCGGCGGAGGAACACAACGACTGCCACAACTGGTGAGTCATAAACCAAATGTTTGTTAAATACTAATTGAATGGTGTTGTCATACTTAAGATCAGTGTTCCCAACTCTTTGGATATGATGCTAACCGGGAAAATGATTAAAGCAGATAAGGCTCGTAAGATGGGACTCGTCGACCAAGTGGTGAACCCTTTAGGTCCGGGTCTCACATCACCTGAAGAACGAACGTTAGAATACTTGGAAGAAGTGGCCATTTTTACTGCCAAACAGATTGCGAGCGGAAAACTGAAAGTTTCGCGTCAAAGGCCTTTGACTGAACGTAATATTCATTGAAAAACTTTCAATATTTAAAATTAACAACAATTTGTGTTATTGAAGGACTCCTTCGGTCTGCGATTGGCATTCAGTTTATCAGAGATAAGATCTTTGATAAGGCGAGGGGTCAGGTGATGAAAATGACGAGTGGCTTATATCCGGCACCGCTTAAAATCATTGAAGTGGTGAAGACTGGCTTAGAGAAGGGACAGCCGGCGGGAACTGAAGCCGAGATTAAGGGTTTCGCCGAATTGAGTCAAACGACTCACTCGAAGGCTTTGATCGGTTTATTTCACGGACAGACTCTTTGCAAAAAGAATAAGTTTGGAAAACCGGCTAAAGAGCCGAAGACATTGGCCGTATTGGGCGCCGGTTTGATGGGCGCCGGCATCGCACAGGTCTCAGTCGATAAGGGCTATCACACTATACTGAAAGACGTGTCGACCGCCGGTTTAGTTCGCGGCGAACAACAAATAAGAGGCGCTTTTGACACTAAAGTGAAGCGAAAGCGATTGACGTTTACTGAACGCGATCTCTATATGTCAAACCTCAACACTTCCATCGATTATCGCAACTTCAAGAAAGTGGATGTCGTTATCGAAGCCGTTTTCGAAGATATAAAAATCAAACATAAAGTGGTTCAAGAAGTAGAACAGCAGATCCGCGACGACTGTATCTTTGCTTCGAACACATCGGCGCTTCCGATCACCAAAATAGCCGAAGCGAGCAAAAGGCCCGAGAATTTCATTGGAATGCATTACTTCTCACCCGTAGATAAGATGCAATTGCTTGAAGTGATCACTACTGATAAGACATCGAAAGAGGCGTCGGCCGCGGCGGTGGCCGTTGGTCTCAAACAGGGAAAGGTTGTAATTGTGGTGAAGGACGGGCCGGGCTTTTACACGACTCGCATTTTGGCTCCCGTTATGTCCGAAGCGATTAGACTAATGCAGGTTTTGTATTGCAATTACTATAAGATGTGTGAAAACAATATTGAATAAACTTATC